GGACAACATCAACTACGACATCAACAACGACTACTGCTACCACTACAACTACACAGTGGGCCAGAATACCGGTGGAGGAGGCCAAAACTCTAAATACGTTTAGAGCTCCAGGGTCCGTGAACAGGACTCGAACCGAACGTGTGACCTTACTAATGGATTCCTCGTTTGGAGAGCAATCCATTGGTGGGGTCACAAGTGCGGTTGGAGTCCTGTTTCGCGACTCTGGAGCTCAAAATGCGTCCGGTGTTTTGAACCCCTCCACCGGTCTTCAGGTCTTCTGGCCCACAGTGCACTACAACAGGCGCAATGCGCAAGTGTAGTACTGCGGCTGGCCTGGTTCGCAGCGCGCCCGACTAGCCATTCGCATTACGGCCGAGGGTGGTTCGATGACATATTAGTTGACCCGAGGTAAATAAAATCCCCCCCCCCAGGCCGGTCGGTCCGGGGGCTGTGTGGTTCCCACTTCCCTCGTCGGGCCGAGCGTCGCGCCCCCTCCCGCCCCCACCCTCGCGGCCTGTCACCCTCCCCCCTCTCCAGTCCCTCTCTGAAGCCAGCCTCCCGCCGGGCGGATAAACGAATGCAGGCCGGCCCGGGCCTGGCCTGACTTGGCCCTACCCCCCGGGCAGGGTGCCAGGGGGTCGTTTAACCCGCTCTCGGCCCCACACTGTAGACCCTGCTGGCCCTGCCCCCGCCGTTATTGTAATTTTACGTCCTCCAGTGTTTCAGTCCTTTTAATTTTAACAAGGGGCGCCGCATTCCCGGCTGCCCGGGCTTTTAGTAAAAAATATAATTAGAGAGCGCGGAATAAAGAGAACGCGGAGTCTGTCTCGTGTTTGGCGGAGGGCGCAACAGCAGGGAAGCACGCCCTGAATTTCACGTCAGCGCGCACGAAAATGCATTTTCACGCGAGAACAAAACCTGGAAACTAATGGCGTTTCCAGGCCACCTGGCCGGGCGGCTGCGGCGCTGCGGCAAACGCGGCAACAAAGAGGAGCCCGGTCCGGATTGAGGGGAAATCTGACGAGTCAATCTGGCTTCGCCGGCCCCGCACCCTGGACCACAACATGAGGCTGCAAAAGCCGAGGGAAACACCACCAACACCCAGAAAAGGTGTCGATACACTATAAATAACGCTATGCATTTCCTGACACGCGCCCCCAGGAGGTCCTAGAGGCTCTGAAGGGCGGGGTGTGGCTGGGATGCGGCTTGCCTATAGGCTCGCCTGGGCTTGCCCCGCTGTGGGACCACTGGGACCGCGCTGCCCCATCATCAGTCAACTCGATCCCGTGCATGCATCACGGACGGGCGGGCGGACAGACGGACAAGCAGACAGACCGACAGGCCGACTGACAGACGGACGCCAGGGCGAGGTCCTGTCCACCACTATACTAAGATTCAGGATGGAAGAAGCCGCGGCGTAGCGCGGTGGTAGGTGACGGCCGACTACCTGACTCCGGCCTGGTGTGGGGGTGGGTCCCGGAGGGCACCGACTGGCGAGTCCTTTTGTCTCCATGTATTTATAATGAGCGTTGTAAAATCTCTCGAAATTACTTCAAAATTCTAGAATTGCTATAAAGTCAATGCAGATTCGAAACCACAGGAAAAATCTGAGCAATTTAAAAAAAAATTGGAGGTTTGAGTCGTTATTACTTGCCAGTGTGATAAACAGGTTCAATAGGTAAAAATTGTCGTAGAAACACGCCGTTTTCACAAAAGTTCATAAAATTTTATGGTCATTTCAAAACATTCATTAATTTCTGAAACAATTTAATATTTAAAGTTTCGACTTTTGCTGCATTTAAAAGCCCATTAAAATTCGACGGCCTCCTGTTCGGAATACGAGGGTCGCTCTCCACCCGCACAATGGGGCGGGGGCTGCAGGGTCCGTGTCAATGGGGCCGGACGGGCCAGGTCAGAAATGTTGTTGCGGTAGCAGAGGAAGCGTAGCCAGCAGAAAATTTGGCCAGCGGCTTCTTCCATCCTGAATCTTAGTATATTCAACCGCGCGTCGCATCGCGTCGCCCCAGTCGCCCCATTCCCATTAGAACACTTTACGAGCCAGAGAATGTGTGTGAGTGTGTGAGTGTGTGTGTGTGTGTGTGTGTGTGTGTGTGTATACTCCACCCAGCCGGAGAAACATAAAAAACGGAAAATAATGCCAACCGACAAAAACTTTTACACTATAAATACCGATGCGAACGAACGGGTGTTATTCGACTCCGCCGCGCGGCAACGCACCTCGACCGTCCAATTCGAATGAGCGCGCACCTTGGAAAGAAGCACCACCCTCCTCCTCATCCCTGACCCCTCCTCCTGTTCCTCTTCCTGCCCCTCACCTTTAAGAGCAACCCACGCCTATCGTCCGTCTGACCCATCACCTTTAAGAGCAACCCTCTCTTGCTCCTCCGACTGACCCCTCACCTTTAAGAGCAACCCCCTCCTCCTGCTCTTCCTCCCGCTCTTCCAACCCATCCTCCTGCTCTTCTTCTACCTCTTCCTCTTCCCAACCCCTCACCTTTAATAGCAACCCCCTCCTGCTCTTCCTCTTCCAACCCCTCACCTTTAATAGCAACCCCCTCCTGCTCTTCCTCTTCCCAACCCTTCACCTTTAATAGCAACCCCCTCCTGCTCTTCCTCTTCCTCCTTACAACCCATCACCTTTAATAGCAACCCCCTCCTGCTCTTCCTCTTCCCAACCCATCACCTTTAATAGCAACCCCCTCCTGCTCTTCCTCTTCCCAACCCCTCACCTTTAATAGCAACCACCCCCCCCCCCTGCTCTTCCTCTTCCTCCTTACAACCCATCACCTTTAATAGCAACCACCTCCTGACAGAGCCGTTGGTTGAACGTCCATCCTTAAACCTTAAACCTGGTCTTCCTCTTCCCAACCCCTCACCTTTAATAGCAACCCCCTCCTGCTCTTCCTCTTCCCAACCCATCACCTTTAATAGCAACCCCCTCCTGCTCTTCCTCTTCCCCCTTCCGAACCCTCACCTTTAAGAGCACCCCCCCCCTCCTCCTCCCTGTCCCCCCACGGGCATTGAATCTCCGCGTATGTAATTGTCACACGCACAAAGTGATGCTGCTTGCTGCCACGCGCGGCGGCGTTCGTTACGACCACTACGCGGCCGAAGAGACAGGGCGCCGCGCCTCACCACGGCACGCCACGGCACGGCACGGCGCGGCCATCGAGCAGGGAGAAAGCCGAACGCGATGCGCCCTGCCGGCCCTGCCCTCGGTGCCTCGGAGAGGTAGACAACTTCCGCCGCCAGGGTGCGCCGACGCCACGCACGCGGGGAGAGAGGCGGCGGCACCGAAGCCCGCGACACCTCGCCGTCAACGCGCCGTCAACGCGAAGCGACGACCCCCCGCGAAGACGATGCCGCGTGGCCGCGGGCGACGGACGGACGGACACGGACGGCGGACGGACGGACGGACAGACGGACGGACGGCACGCCATCATCGCGGCGACGCGACGTGCCCGAGGCGCAGACACGCCGCAGACATGCAGCAGACAAGGGCGTAGGCCGGCCGACTGCGTTGCATTGTCATTTCAGAGATTGAACCTGGAATTAAAGGCCGGCGCCAGTGTGGGTTTCGAACTATGCGCCCCGCCCCGCCTCGCTCCGCCGCACCACCCTTCAGCCCCGCCACGCCCCGCTGCCACGCCCCACCCCACCCTACCCCGGGCCACGCCCCGCCCGACAGCCGACGACGGGGACGTCGAAATTGGGGCAACGGCGTCCAGATGACGGGTCCGGAATGAAATTTCAACTGGACTGAGGCGGCGCGCGCCGCCCCGTCGCAGGGCGGGCGCAGATATCGATTGGCGGCGTCGCAACAGGGTGACCTTGAACTTGACCTTGAACTTGATGTTGAACCCGATCGCGCGCGCGCGGGCACGCACACGCGCACGCGTCTGGCGGGTGGCCAAGTCCGCCGCTGAACGCTCCACGAAAAAGAGGTGCGTGCGTGTGTGAGTGTGCACGCCTTGTGTGCATCTGCCTCGTCCTGGGCGTAAGCACGCGTGCAAGCCACTCGACGCGACGCCCGATCAGCCGGTCGGACACCCTACTTGGAGCCGGCCGTAAAACAAGGCCACACCCCCCGAATTAGGGTTGCCACCCCGGTCATCGATAATTACTGATTGGCGCTGTGAGGCTAATTTACGGGCGCTGTGACTGGGCGGCTTCGACTTCGCCGGGTTTCACAACGGTACGGCACCGCCACGCCCAGGGATGGCCCCGGTACGGCGCTCCGACGGCACGGCCGGGACGGCCTCATCGAGCCGGCAATCATAGCCAGCGAGCTGCGCGAGCCAGCCCAGCCGGGCCGGGTTGCTCCCCCCGGCAGAGAGGGCCCGGCCGTCGAAGGTAAAGGCCGCCGGGAAATTGATTTTCCAAGTCCGCGGACACGGCTCGGTGACACGAAGACACGACTCCAGTGTGGCGGCGAGGCGCGCGGTGCGCGGGCGTCCCGGCGTGGGTGCGAGCCTGGCCGGCCGGCCGGCGACGCGGACGGGCGGATGGGCCGACAGGCAGACCGCGGCGCAAGACGACCGTACCGTACCGCACCGAGTACCCAGTGTCCGTTGCACTTTCCCCGCGATGAATGCCTCGGCCGATGAATGACCAGGCTGCGGCTCGCTAGCCGGCAGGCACCGCGCTCGCACCGCGTCGAGTGCATCCTCTCCTTTTTTCGGCCCCGCGAAAGTTCGATGAGCTCGCGCCTTTCTTCCCGTCCACCGCAGTCTGTCCGGGGCCTTCGGGGCCTCCGGGGCGTCCTCGGCGAGCCGCACTTAATTGGCGGCCGGACGACGGGCACACCTGCATCGGGGCCAGGTCGGCCACCAGGTCGCGGTGCGGTCAGGGCGCCGGCACGGCCGGCACCGCCGCGGCCGCCGCGAGGGAGGCGAAGACGCCTTACCGGCCTGACCCTAATCGCGGGCCCGACAGGCCGACGGTCGTTGTCGCTACAGGAGGATATAGGTGTCGCTCACCTCAAGGTTGGCCAGGATGGCGGCGCAGTGCAGAGCGGGCAGGTCCTCGTCAATGCCGACGACCAGCCCGTCGTACACGCCGTGCTTGAAGGCGATGGGGCCGGCGTCGGCGCAGCTCAGCGCGCCGAGCGCCAGCAGCAGCAGTGACATGAACCGGGTCATTGTCACAGAGAGGACTCGGACTTCACTTATGGCACTTTCAGAAGAGAGACTCCGTCAGGGACTGTTCTGACCTATGCACACTGTCAAGCACTCTCACTCACACCACTCACAGCCGCGGCACATCGACCCAACAACATCCAGGCCCATGGTAACGGGCAACGCCGGCACTGGAAGAGCTCGCGCGCTGTCACTTCCACACACCTCGCACAAGGCGAGCACTGCAGCAACTGCACACGGAGTTCGTGCAAGTCACTTTGTCACTTCGTCACTGGCACTGGGGACTGCAGCAACTGCACACGGAGTTCGTGCAAGTCACTTCGTCACTGGCACTGGGCACTGCAGCAACTGCACACGGAGCTCGTGCAAGTCACTTTGTCACTTCGTCACTGGCACTGGGCACTGCAGCAAATGCACACGGAGTCGGTGCAAGTCACTTTGTCACTGGCACTGGGCACTGGGCACTGCAGCAACTGCACACGGAGTCGGTGCAAGTCACTTTGTCACTTCGTCACTGGGCACGTCGCGTCACGAGACGGCGGCGCCTGTCACTGACTGGCAACTTGTTGTGAAGGCGCGGTCGCTATGGAGACGGAACTCGGAGACGAGAGCGTACGTCGCGGCTGCGGAGAGCGGAGCGGCACGGAGCGGCGCAGGTTCGAGGTGCTGACACTGGAGGCGCAGGAACTCGACTGGCGGGACGCGGAGACGGCGGCACGGCCGGCTGGGTTCGTGGCGCGGTGCACCGTGGCTCGAGCTCAACAGTCCCGCCGTCGGGCCGCTCCGGGCCGATCCCTGGCGAGCCGCGCCGAACCCCCACCCGTCCCCGCCGAGCGGGACCGAGCCAGACACCGAACATTACCGAATGCGGGGCGGAGTGGGGGGCGGGGAAGGGGCGGGGATGCTTGGCGGGGAAGTCTAGCCGATCGGCAGCGCACCCTGCCGTCGCCGTCCGCGTCCGGGTCTCCCCCTCCCCCGCATCCCCGTCGCCGTCCTGCGCGCAGCTAACGCACACATGGGACACACGTGTGTGCTGCCTCCGGGAAGGACCCGCCCGGAGCGTCCAGCCCGCAGCCCCGCCCGGACGATCCGGTGTCTCGTTCCCGGAAGGTGGCGGAAAAGCAGAGCCAAATGGCACGGACCGCCGGACCCGCCGCGCCGGACCCGCAAGCACATTTCCGAGGACGCGTTTGTCCCGGTCAGAGAGGTCCCAGTATAGATGAAAGGTCGCAGCGACACGCCTAGCCTCCAGCGCTCCGGCCCCGCGACCCGCAGCGCAGTCTCTCTCTCTCCCCCCCCCTCTCTCTCTCTCTCTCTCTCTCTCTCCCTCTCCCTCTCTCTCTCTCTCCCTCTCTCTCGGAATGGCGGTATGTGGCCGCGCATCGCGGTGCATCGGTGCATCGCGTCGTGCCGTACCGCCGCCGCGCCTCGCCTTGCCTCGCCCCGGGCTGCGGGGAGAAAGGTTACCCATCGCCTCATCAGAGCGCGGGCCGGGCCAGGAGGCTGAGCGAGTCCGACCAAACAGTCGCTCTGCCTCTGTCGCACTCATGGGGCGTCCCGCCCACGTGCGAGAGAGACAGAGCGCCGACTCTTGTGAATCCGCCTGCAGAGCCGGCAGATGCACCACCTTGCGCAATTACGAGCCATCTATTATTCGAGATGCCCTCGCAGGACTCTAGCAGGCATGCCACGCCACGCCTCGCGCCACGCACCACCCCGGTCAGGCATTTCACCACACCCTTCCGACCGCCGCCAGTTCACCCTTTGCGGTTGGACGCCGACCGGCCGGCCCCGCCGGGCAGCAGACTGGTTTCACTCTGTCTCTCTCGCTCCGACAGGGCAGGCTCTATGAGTGCGAGAAAGACAGAGCGAGGGGAACGACTCTCGCACGCCGTCCGCGGGCCTACCCCATTTTGCGGGGTCGAGGGACTCCGCGGTGGCGCCGGGGTGGTGGTGGTGGTGGCCCGCATTCCCGAGGGGCGCGGAGCGGCGCGGAGGGCGTCGTCGCGGTGGCCGCCCCGCACGCCCCGCCGGTGGTGGTGGCCGCTCTCCGCTTGTTTGCGAGGGGAGTGGAGCGGCGGCGGCGTCTCCGGGCCGCACCAGCCGGTGTGCCGTGCCGTGCCTTGCCGTGCCTGCCGCGCCGTGCCGTGCCGTGCCGTGCCGTGCCTTGCCGTGCCGTGCCTGCCGTGCCGTGCCTTGCCGTGCCTGCCGCGCCGCGCCGTGCCGTGCCGTGCGCCCCGGGTGGGGGTCGCAAAACGAAGCGCCGCCACCCCGCCGCGGGCTGCGCCTTGCTGCGCCTTGCTGTGCCGCGCTGCGCCGCGGGCCGAGCCTGAGAGTGCCGCGAGCCTTTCAAGTCGGCAGCATTAATTTCGAAGACAAACAGGGCGGTGGCCGCGCTGGTTGTTGAACCGCGATGCCGCGGCGCCACAACCCCTGCAGGCCAGAGCGGCCAGAGAGCCGTCGCTCTCGCTCTCATGGGTCCTCCGCTATGGGTGCGAGAGCACCCAGCAATCTGCTGCAGTGAGTGGTGCCGCACCGAGCCTCGGCACAGCCCATGCAGTGCCTCAGAGTGCCTGCATGGGCGAGGCCGCGAGGCCGCGAGGCCGGTAACCGCGCTTCGTCGCACCACCTCGCTGTCTCTCTCGCACCCCCACGAGACGCCCCTTAAGAGTGCGAGAGGGACGGAGAGTCCGGAATCGCCCTGCGGGCGGTCGTTATGCCGCTGAATTTACGATGCGGTGAGGATTCGCCCTCCGCGGCGCGCGCAGCGCAACGCAGTGCAACGCAGTGCACCGGATGACGAGGTCGCGGCGTCGCGTGGCGGCAGTGGGGCCGCCCCGCCCCACCCCACCCCGCCCCGCCCCACCCCGCCCCGCCCCGACTTGTTTTAGCGTTGCAAATGAAGAAGAAGGCGCACTTACGGGGAGACAACGTGTTTATGAGTTGCAAACTGCACGGCCGATCCAGGACGCAGTGCGGTTCCGTCGCTCCGTCTCTCTCGCACTCTCGGTGCGTCCCACAGGGGTGCGAGAGAGACTGCACCGCTCCCCGGCCCTTTTAGCGCGTTCCCCTCCGAATACATTTACAGGCCTGTGGCCGCCGGCTCAGCCAGCTCTGCCGGCTCTCGGTTGTTTTGCTGCAGAATGCAATATCTGCAACGACCGTGCTTCGAGTGCCGGCCGCGCCGGCGAGGCCGGTCGGGGCGAGACCTGACGCCAAAATTGTCAAAAACGTCACGTACGGCGATATCCGCGATATCCCCTCCCCGGCGCGTCGCGTGTCCTGCACTGTAACTCGCTCCAGCGCCAGAAGCGCCAGCCAAAACGGACGAAAAACGCGCTGCTGGCGATGCGCTGCAAGCCAGCACGACGACAAGACATGAGAATGGCCGGTCTCTTTCCTCGCCTCTGGTTTTTGACGGTGCACTGGCGTCGAACCGAAGTCATAGCAGGAGGCTGGAGGGTCGCAGGGAGGGGCTGATCTACATTTAGGAATAAGTCCCGCGTGTTCGGACACACCGGCCGCACACCGTAAAAAGACTGCAGCAAGGGCAGCGGGAAACAAGCCCAGTTCATTCGTCGGCTGCTGGAAAGTTGGGGAAAAGCTACAAGTTGAGTCTCAAAGCGCAGCACAGCGCAGCAGGACCCGTTAGAGCAACATGTTGGAGCCTGGTGACGGAGCCTTGCTCATCCCATCTGTTTCGGATTAGCGAGTCCCCTCCGGGCCTGCCTGACCTGCCTGGCCCCGAGAGTCGGTTTCGTCGCTCTGTCTCTCTCGCACTCATGGACGCGCCCCGTGGGTGCGAGAGAGACAGAGTAACGGGAAAGACCCTCGGAATCAGTCTGCTGCCTGGCCTGCCAGCCGTCGGTCAGCTCCGCGAGCTCCGCGAAGGGGCAGACAGGTGACATTTGGGCACTCGGAGCGCTTCTCCCATTCACGGCCCATTGCAGTGACGCAGTGACACGTCACCGGATTACAGAGTTTGGGTTTGGTCCCAAGCGAAAATGCATCGGCGCGGCAAGGTCACTTTCCAACGCTGCAGCGATAGGGCGCCGCGGATCGCGATCAAGCGTCGGGGCACAGAGGGCCGGAGGCGGCCAAAATTTTATGGACGCATTTTGAGCACCAGGTCGCGAAGCGGGACTCGAACTATGACCCCACCAATGGATAGCTTTTCGAACGAAGAAAAATCTTCCCCCAAAAAGGCAACAGAAGACAGCGAAGTTTGGTCCGACATCCAACAAAACCTCCTGCCTTCAGAAGTTTTGCGTACTACGCACCCCCCCAAAAAAGTGGTTACCTCCCTCAAACTTTTGGCGTCAATTTTCGGCACATGCCATAGTTTGGCCTCGCAATAGTTGACTTCCCACTGCGATAGCACTTGCCAGTGCACGGTAAACTGCAATATATTGCCACTGCGCAATACTATTGGCTGCGATTGAGAGTCAAAGCGAGCTCATCACGAAACTTCATCTGCTGAAAAGTCCACAAGGGTTTATTGTGCGTGCCTCGCGGGCCGGTAGCTACACAAACTAATGAGCTCCCCAATTGGCGACATGCATCGGATTGACGTCATCGGTCGTCCTCTCCGACGAATAGTCTGCCGGCTTCCGGAGCGTGTCCCTTCCGTTCCTTCAAAAGCAGTGGGGCCGGGCGGCCAGGCCACTCTGTCTCTCTCGCACTCATGGGGCCTCCGAGGTGCGAGAGAGACATAGCGGCGGCACGGACAAGCCATAACGAGCACAGGCCCTGCACTGCCCAGTGCACACACAAGGACACGGAATATAAATCACCAAACTGTTTTCCAGAAACGCGGGAACACATGTTGTTGCTCATTTTGCTAGGCGGGCGGAGGGACGAATTGTTCTGAGTTTACCTGCTCGCCTCCCCTCCCCCCCCCCCTCCGCCCGGCCCCGCCCTCGCCCGGCCCCGCCCTCTGCAAAGCTTACGGCTGAATTTGAAACGTACATCCGGTATACTGCATCCGTTTTGAGTTGCCGATCTGATTTTCGAAGTGCGATGAATTGAGCACTGTGAAACCAAGAGTGAGGAGAACTCAACACTTGAGATGCGGAGGTGGGGAATTTGCAGTCTCCACACTTGCGCCATGCCGAGAGCTCTGTGAGCAGCTCCAAAAGTCAAAAAGTGGAGACTTACACAGCACCGTTCTCCACACTTAGGGGAGGTCGACTATAAAATGGTCGTCACCGCTTTTACTGATATGCCAGGAAACAATAGTCGAACGAATCCTGTGAATCACGACAGCTAACTCAATTTTATTCCACCCCGGAATGCAATGAAACGAACGAGAAAAAAACCGAGGAAGAAACAACGCCAAAACTGCGGAAGCCCCAATAATGAACGGAGAGCGGCAAGCGGCCGTTGCCGAAGAATTCAGAGAGAGAGAGAGAGAGAGAGAGAGAGAGAGAGAGAGAGAGAGAGAGAGAGAGAGAGAGAGAGAGAGAGAGAGAGAGAGAGAGAGAGAGAGAGAGAGAGAGAGAGAGAGAGAGAGATTGCTACCGAGCCCCGCCTGGATCACTGACACAATGGGCCAATCTACCCCCTGTTCTGGCCCCACGTGCTGCATTTCGCACACTAAAAAGTGCCCTGTTTTGGAGGAGTCAATTTACCGTTCCCGGATAAAAAACTAATCAGAGAGTAAAGGTACGTAACATAGTATTACAACCATCCGGTTTCTTTGGCCATACCTCTTTGACTTCAGTGCGGATTACATCATGGTTCCTTTTA